CTCTTCTCTTCTCTTCTCTTCTCTTCTCTTCTCTTCTCTTCTCTTCTCTTCTCTTCTCTTCTTTTCTTTCTTTCTTTCTTTCTTTTTTTTTTGAAGGCAAATTTATTAAGATGCATAGAATGGATTATTCCATAGGTGGAGCAGCCCCATGAGGGGAGATGGGCAAACAGTTTTGTTCCTTCCTATGAGAGGAAGGGAATAAATGTTACCCAAAAGAAAAGACAGAAGGCTATCCCAGAGGCAGGGCAGCCCTACTTCTTTTTAGAAAAACTTATTTATTATTGCCAGAGGAAGTATGTACTCAAAGAAAGAGAGACAGAGACAGAGACAGAGACAGAGAGAGAGAGAGAGAACCCCTCAATGTGGTCATGCCACCACCTTTTTTCCTTCCCATCAGGATCGTGGGCACACACATGTACCCAGCATGTTTTTCGAGTTGCTGGGATCTGGATTTGAACTGCAGTCAACCATGTGGCATTCAGCTATTTACGTACAGCACTTAGCAGCTGTGCTACAGGGGTGACCCAGTAAGCTTTTCCTAAAATGTTCCAGATGGTTAATAGTTAAGGCTCTGTGGACCACACAATCAGTCACACCACTTGATTTTGCTGTTGTAACACAAAAGCAGCCAAAAACAACTCAAGAAGAAAATGACTGTGCCTATGTTACACTAAAACTTTATAGGTAGAGAAATTAGAATTTCATCAATTTTACTTTAAAAAAAAAATCTGCTAGAGTGTATCTGTTCTCTCCAGAGAGCAAGAGAAAGCGAGAAAGTGGGGAAGCACCCCTTATGTGGATGGTCATGATGCAATTCCTTCACTTCCATTTCTCCCTCCTTTAGGAATTTTGGACATGCATACACACATGTCCAGGATGTGTTCAAGTTACCAGGTCCAGAATTTGAACCATGTGGTCTACTGGATCCCACTCGTGAGGACGCCATCCTCAATCTAACTACCTTTGAAAGGCCCCATCACCTTGGGGCTTAGGAGTTAACATAGGGAATTTGGAGGGATACAAACTTTCAGTCCCTAGCACTTTCCCTTTCTCTTCCCCTTATGCCTCTTCTCTTACTCCTGCCTGCTTACTCTTCTGATTATACAAATATCTGTGACCTACCTCGTATCTTTGTGCACTGGAGGCAGGATTTAAGTGAGTACTGATGTGGGTATTTATGGCATGTGTGTGTAGTGCAGCTCCAAGAATTATCCTGTAATTTAATAAAGGAAAGGCCCCTGTTCTAGTCTGTTATTGTGTTGCTAACAGAAATCTCCAATACTGGGTGATTAATAAAGAAGTAGAAGCTTTTTCAGCTGACAGTTTGGAAGTCCAAGGTCCAGGGACCAACTTCTGGTGAGACAACACCATGGCAGAGGGTGGGAGCTTCAGCAGAGAAGCTGTTTGTAAATGTCTCCTAGTTCTGGTTTGTATCCTCTTGGGCTCTGCCTGCCTCATTCCCTCTCCTCATAAACTATCTTTATAAGCAGAAATCAGTCATTGGGACCCCACCCTGATGATGTCATTACATCATCACACGCAAAGGGCCCACCCTGGGACACCATGAAGGGATTTGGTTTTCATTGAGCATCTTTATCATGTAACCCAGTCCCGACATGAACTTTTGGGGAACATCTGACCATGGTCCACTAAGACCAAATTCTAAAATATGAACCTTGGGAGGACAAAGACATCGTCTAAACCATAGCAGCCTCTGGCTGCTTCAGTCCTCCATTTGCTTGGTAAAGGCTGTAGTTTTCTACTTCACAGCACCATGAAGTTGGACAGGACAGGACTTCTGCTTTGCCAGAAAAATTTGCTCACTTCCTGGTCAGTATTCAGAGCCCTGTAAGTGCTTATGAGTTTCCTTCTTTCTCCTCTAAGAGTTTTATATTATTCAGAATAGCTTCTAGCCTAACGTCTCCTCCCCCAACACACTAAAATTACAAAACAGGGCCAACTGGTGGCATCGTAGTTAAGGCAGCTGAATTCTACATGGCTAGCTGCACGGTTCAAGGTCTGGACCTGGTGGCTTGCAAAACATGCCAGGGATGTGCCCAAAATGAGACATGGAGAAGAACAGATGTGATGTGGCCATTCTCCATGAGGAATGCTTTCTCATTTTCCCTTGCTCTTTCTGTCTCTCTCCAAGTGCATGTACCCTGTGGCAAATTTTTTAAAAGTACAAAAAAAAAAAAAAAAAGGAAGTAGAAAATGAAACACTAATTCTAGGAAATAACGGATTCTTTAGTCATTTGACCCTCTCACATCCAGGTACATAGTGGGTTCCCAGGAGCCCCCAGTATATGCAGTTGTAAGAGGCCATTCAGCCCCTACAGCTCACGTCTCAGGAGATGGGGCAGCGCCCATCCTTGCCGAAGCTCCCACAGACGTTGCTGTCCTTTCTGCCAACTCTGAAGTGCACCAAAGATTCCTCCAGATGTTAAAACTGTTGAAGTGATGCTCTCTCAGGCTCACTTGATTTCTTTACTGCATGACTGTTCCTCCTGGCTATGAACTCTGGGTCTAGGTTTGAGTAGCTCCCAGTCTAGTTGGAATAGCCCTCATTGCCTGAGGGGTCTTTCCACCTTGTCTTCCTCATTGCCGAAGGGAAGCAGTCTACCCTTGTCTGGGGCTCCTGACTCACACTTATCTCATCCATCGTCTCCCTTGTGCTTCCAGCCCTTCCACAGTTTCCCGAACTGTATGCTTGGTCGTGTCTCCTTATCTATGAACTTGATGTTCTCTCCGCCAAAGTTCTCCCCTCCTCCTTCTGTTCTACCTTGTCTGCCCACAAAACTCTAGACAGCAGAGAAATTCAGAGTCAGGCAGGCTGGATCACATCACTTTAGTTCCACATAAGTGTATTCAACAGCTTGCCTTTCCCCCTGTCCCCAGGGATGTCATTTTGTCACTATTAGCTGTGTGGCTTTTGGAAAAGTTTCTAGCCCTCAGTTTACCCATCTGTAGAATAAGAAGGACATATATAAAACACTTATCCAGGGACCCTGCACATATAATAAACTCTCCATGAACCGAAATGTTGTTTTTATGATTTCTTTTTCTTCATGTGTCAACTTCAGCCTGATGACTCCTTCTCCTTTCTATCTAGATATAGACCCTCACTCTTCAGCCCACCATGCCCCTAGTCTCTAGGACAGCTCCTCACACAAAGTCTCGGTTCGTTGTCTGGTCTTCCCTCTATCCTTGGATAAGAACTGCATCTCCTCTGTTCTCTTATTTTAAGTGCTAGTCCCTAACATTTATTGACTCCATGGACCAGGTCCCATTCCAGTGGGAAGGGCCATCCCCAGATTTGCTAGAGATGTGTCTCACACTTTCCTTGATGTACCCAGTCTTCTTGCCTCTACTGGCGGTGACTTCAAAGGACATGCCAGGCTCGGCTGTAGGCCGAGGGTGAGTCTGGGAGACTGACCAGCCATGGCAACCTTTATGCAAGGATGAATTGGAAAAACAAATCATGAATAGTCCATTCCGCTAAGTGTTGCTTCTCATCCTGCACTGAAGATGAATGGGATGCCAGAGGTGCAGCATCTCATCCCCATGGGAAACGCGAGAGCTGCCAGATCAGCACCACTAGTACCTAGCCATTCATTCTCTTTTCTTTATTTTTAAATTTTTGTATGTGCGTCAATGTTCCTTCTTTTTAAAGGAGCAAAGTCAAGTTGGCAAATAGCCCTGGCAGCCAGACAGACAGTCATGACCTCTCTGGGCAGCTCCTTGGGTGGCGGTACTTTTTTCCAGTGCTACATCTTCATTACTACCCAGCTGATAGTGAGGCCGATTCAGATGCATAAATAGCATCTCCTTCTCACCTCCTTTAGACCAATAGCATTTTGCCCCTTGTTCCCTGACAGCTTTCACAGTGTCCTGCCTTTTCAGAAGCCAGTCCGCCTAAACTCCATTCAACTGATGATCCTGAGACTCGGGTCATTTCTTCCCACTCAGGAACCATGACAGGCTGAATTGTTCCCTTAGCAAATTCACACATTAGGGCTGGACATGATGCTGCGGTAAAAAACAAACCAACCAAAAAAAAAAAAAAAAAAAAAAAAACCCACAAAGCTCTGTGAGGCTATTCCACATGGAAAGGTTCTGAGTTTGTATCTGGAGACCTCTCTGAGTATGGTGGAAGTACCCAGGATCTGGGGCTGGCTGGGACAGCTATGTGTGAACCCTTTGCTGAATGAATAAGTGTTTGTGCTGCCAAGGAAGCTCTGGAGTCTCAGACAGAGAACAGGAATCTTCTCTTTGGGCAGAAGTGATCTTTTCTGTCAACTTACAAACTACATACATTGGGAAGGTCACCTAAGAGTATAATTTGGGGGAGGGGTTCTATCAGAGATAACTTTTCTTAATTTTGAACTGGTGAGGTTTCACAATTTAGTAGGCTCATTGATTTTTAAATTTTTTTTTTCTTTTTTGAGGGGTTGGGGAGAGTTTTTGGCATTAGGGCGAATCATTATTATTACTTTTTTAGAGATTTTTTTTTTTGTAATAGGCTGCATGCACTCACTGGAGAGACAGAGAGGGACAGAAACAGAGATCGAGAAGTCACCCCCCTGGGGAGATGGTCATGCTACAACCCCCTCTCCTCCATTCTCCTCTTGGGATTTTGGGCATGCACACACATGCACCTAGCATGAGTTTTAAAATGCCTGCTCTGGGACTTGAACTGTGGTCGACTACATGGGAGTCCAGCAACATAACCATTATGCCATCTGCTGATCCTGGTGAACCACTACTTTTAAGTCCTAATTTCTTTCTTATTATCCTTCTTGTTGCTGTGATCAGGCTCTATCCACCCGGCCTTCTCCCAAGGGCTCCCAATAGCTCTCACAAGACCTGCTGTGGGTAGAGACAAGGTTTAGCTCCTGATCCCTCCTCCCCTCACCCACCCCAACTAAGTGCTTGAGCAGCCCACATTGGTGAGTCTTAATTTCCCCATAAACATAAATGGATATTTTGAAAGACCTTACCACAACTCTGGTAGAGCACTTCCAAGCCCCCTTCCTTGCAGGCCGTGTGTGTGGGCCAGGCTTCTTCTCCTTTATCACTCCCACTGCTGCTGCTGGGAGAAATCAGAGTCCAGACCAGGAGGGCAGCCATGAGGCCCTGCATGGCGAGGGCCTGTGTGTGAACAACAGATAAATAACAGACCAATGAAAGGGCCTTAAATCTCCTTCCTCTCTCCTCCTAAAGGGGGTGTCATGTTTAGTTTCACTTCTCAAATTTTAGCCACCCAAAGAGTCACTATGAGAAGCAAAAGGTAGAGCAGAGACATTTGAATGCTATTCTCCCAGGACCTTTGGCACTTGAATCAACAGAGTGAGGCAGCTCTGAATCTGAGGTAGGCTGAATGTTGACTTTCTATTTTCAGAGAGGGGCAGACAGCAAATGATGCGTGAACTTACGCCTTGGGCCCCCTAAAACAGCCCTCCTTGGAGTCCCCACCTCTGAAAGAGCTGTGAATGCAGAAAGATGAACCACAGGCCACCATGTGTTTTCCATCAGCAGCCTCACGGAAAGTCTAGCCAAGCTCAGATGTAGACCGTAGACCGTGCACTGTGGACCAGGGACCTGGCAGAGCTGGCAGGCAGGCAGTGCTTAGCAATTGAAGACTAACAGAAGGGTATTTGCAAGCTGGAATGAGGCTTGGGCCCAAATGGCACTTTTCTCTCTGACTGCTCTCTTAGGGTGAGCATCTCAGCAGTGACCTGTCTATCAGCACTACAGGACGTGATTTTGGAAACAGCAGAATGGCCTCTTCAGATGACAGGGAAGGAATGGTTCTGAGAAGTGAGCTCTGTTCTGTTTCTGGATTTGGCTTGGTGGAAGGAGTAGGAAGTTGTGGGGAGGCATGGTCGCCTTTTAAGGCCGGAGACTCATTTTTAAGACTGGTTTAATGGTTGTAGTCTTTGGTGGAATCACTAAGTTCACATCCCACTTTTTGAAAAAGTTTTTGCCAGTGGGTGTGTGCACTTGCCAGTGAGAGACAGAGAGATAGAAAATAGGAGAGGGAGAAAGCACACCCCGTTGGGACACGGTTATGCCCTAATCACTTCGGCACTGTTCTCTCCTCTCAGGATTTTGAAGATGCATGTACATGCACCCAGTGTGTTCTTCAATCTGCTGGGTATGAGACTCAAACTGAGTAGTCGGCCATGTGGAATTCAGCTCCTTTAACCACTGGGCCATGAGGCTGGCCTCCCACTTTCTTTTCAAAGCTCAGACTGTCCTACTTTTACACGAACCTAGGTCATTACTGGGGAAAGCAGGATCTGACAAATCAAATCCAATTCCCCACCCTGTCCCACCTCTACCTTAGTGTAAGAGAGGCAGAGACAGGGTGAGGCCAGCAGACTTTAGGAGCAGCAGAAAACACCATTTTCCCCTGGGAGGAGAATCATTTTTCTGAGGACACTAGGTAAATTGACTATGTCCATCAATGGCAGAATAAGAATGAAAGTCACCTTGAAATAGGTGAAATTTAATGATCAGTGAAGATAAACAAATACATTTAATTAATTGGTGGATCCTGTGGGTTTCTTGGGAAACATCAGGAAGTAGAGACATAGGGAAGAAACAGGTCTGGATTGATCTTCTTTAGGGATCTGTCTGCAAATAACTTCAGGGATGTTGACTTTCAGCAGTGGGTCTCAAAGTGTGGTCTGGGAGATGATGCCATTAGTTTCCACCACAACCTAGTTAGAAATGCAAATTCTGGGCTCTACATGAGACCTACTGAACCAGAAACTCTGAGAATGGCCCCTGCAACCTGTGTTTTAATAAGCCTGCCAGGTGCTTCTGACACATTCTTCAAGTTTAAGGCCCACTGGGTTTAACAGAACCCAAGATAAAAGTTGAGCCCCAAAGGAGAGGTGGGTAGTTGCTCTACAAGGAGACAAGGTAGCCCCACCTGGTCCAATGAGCAGTGGCAGTTGCCCTGTGAGCAAGCTCTTCAGTGAGGGTCTGAAGCTTATGGTGAGTGCTCAAGGCCCTAATGGATACGTTGCAACCACTGGCTGGCCAGGGGTGGAATGCAGAAACATTCTCTGAGGGCATTTGAGTGCTCTAGGAATTGTTGGGAGAGCCCTGAACATGCAAGCCAGGAGAATGATTGAGTGGAAGACCTTCTTCCCCTGCAGAGCATGGATGACCAGCATCAGCAGAAGGATTCCGGAGTGCAGAGCAGGGAGCAGACACCGTGGCAGACAGGTGTGAGTGGCAACCACCAGGGAAGCAGTCTTAGTCTGGTTAGGTAGCCATAACAGAAACACCATAGGCTGGGAGTTTACCTGAACATGCAAGCCAGGAGAATGATTGAGAGGAAGCCCTTCCCCTGCAGAGCATGGATGACCAGCATCAGCAGAAGGATTCCGGAGTGCAGAGCAGGGAGCAGACACCGTGGCAGACAGGTGTGAGTGGCAACCACCAGGGAAGCAGTCTTAGTCTGGTTAGGTAGCCATAACAGAAACACCATAGGCTGGGAGTTTAAACAACAAATTTTCTCATAGTTCTCAACATTGGACGTCCCAAATCAAAGTGCAGGCAGATTTGGTATCAGGGCACAGCTTCTTCTCTTGTTCACAGCTAGCATTTTCCAGTTGCATTCTCATGTGGCAGAGAAGGGAAAGGGCTTTTCTCGGGACTCTTTTAAGGGTATCAACCCATTTTCTTGAATTGCCAGAGAACACAGGTGCTCACCAGGGGAAGAGAGAAAGAGAAAGAGAAGTAGGTTGGGGGAAAAAGCACCCCCCAATGGGGCACAATTATGCTGCAATCCTTTCTCTTCCATTCCTTCATCCTGTTGAGATTTGAGACATGCGCGAACTCCTGATGTGTTTTCAAGCCACTGGGGGCAGGGATTCCAGCTGCTGTTGGTCATGCGGGATCTGGCTTTCGTAACTGCTGGGCTATGGGGCCAGTCTGGCATAATCTTACCCATAAGGGCTTTGTCTTCATGATCTAGTCACCTCCCAGTGGACTTTCCTCCTAATATCATTCCTTGGGAGATTAGGATTTTAATATTTTGAAAAAATTTTATATTTTTTTTAGGTTTTTGCTATAGGGTGCATGCATTGCCAGAGAGAGGCAGAGAGAGGAAAAGTGAGAAATGATGCCCCAGGGGGATAGCCATGCAGCAATCTCTTCTCCTCCAACCTCATTCTTGGGATTTGGGGTACTCAGGAGCACACATCAGGTGCGTCTTTCAAGCCAGCAGGTCCAGGACTCAAACCATGCAGTCAGCTCTGTGGGATCCAGTTACCTTAACCACCATAGCACCTGACTGGCCCCTGGAGATTAGTATTTTAACCTATGGATGTTAAGAGGACATGAACATTTAGTCCATTTCAGAACCCACATCATCTGATGACAAAATCAGAGGTTTAATGAATCAAAGGAGCTGGCAATGAAAAGGCTCATAGCTCAGGAATTGGCATTTGGAAATATCCCAGTGGGCCAGAGAGACCTGGGGGGCATGGTGACCCCACGACTAGTGGTTCTCAGACTCGAGTGGCATTGGCATCATTTGGAAGCTTGTTAACACGCACACTGGACCCAGTCCCAGAGTTTGACTCAGTAGGCCTGGGGCAGGTGTAGAATTCGCTTTTCTAACAGTGTCCTGGGTGGCTGGTTGGGAGTCATATTTTGAGAAACTCTGCTCTCAGTAATAGCATTTTGTTTATTGCAGAATATATAACTTGAAAAATATCTTAATAAAACATTATTTTGTTATGACAGATGGTATTTTATACAACACAGATTATACTCATCTAAGAAAAAAAAGAGAAAGCCACTTTCTCTGAGGCACTGCCCTGTGGCCAGGATTTGTCTGAAATCACTGATTATGGCCTGTCTAGCTCAGAAATCAAACCATAATGGTATCTTGAGTTTTTTGACTAGCCGATTTTTAAAGACAACCAAAGCATTCATCAATGATGAATTCTCAAGAATGTCCTGTTCCCTAATTATAGAATAAAATTAGAACCAGTTTATGATAATTATTTAAAATATGGTTATGTAGGGGCCAGCAGGTGGCATGATGGTTAAAGGTGCTGGACTCCCACACGGTTGACCACAGTTCGAGTCCTGGATCTGGCAACTTGCTTTCTACTTCCCCTGCCCCCCTCCTGTCACTCTGTCCCTCTCTGGTAATTAAAAATAAATGAAGAAAGAAAGAAAGAAAGAAAGAAAGAAAGAAAGAAAGAAAGAAAGAAAGAAAAGTAAAGTAAGTCTTTAAAAAATATGGTTATGCATATGTAAATGGTAATTAAATATACTGTCGGGAATTGATACTGATTTCCAGTCCCTTAGCAAATGTGGATAAAGAAACTGTGTTAGTGAAGTCCAGATTTCTCTTCTACTTTTTCCCCCATTTTTAATTTTTGCTATAGGGGGCATGCACTCTCCAGAAAGAGACAAAGAGAGATACACAGAAAGAGAAAGTGAGTAAGCACCTCCTGGGGGGATGGCCACACCATGAATCCCTTCTTTTCTAGTCTCCTCTTGGGATTTCAGGCATGCATGTACACATGCCTGGGATGTTTTTTAAGCCGCCAGGTCCAGGATTTGAACTGTGAAGTCAGCCATGTGGAATCCAGGCTCCTTAACCACCATGCCACTGGCTACCCTCTTCTGCTTTATTGACAGTGCTGTTCCTTGATGTCTTAGGCTTCCCCGGATTCACAGAGCAGTCTAACTGGGAATAGTGCCTTTCTTTTCTTTCTTCATCAGAATGGCTCTCACAGAAAGTCTTCTTTAAAGAAACCTCTTGTGGGCCTGCAGGTGGTGTGGTGGTTAAGAGCGCTGGACCCCCACATGGCCGACTGCGGTTTGGGTCCCAGACCTGGCAGCTTGCTTTCTCACCTTCCATTTCTCTCTGTCTCTCTCTCACTCTGTCTCTATCTGGTCAAATTAAAATAAAATAATAAATTAAATAAATAAAGTTAAATAAAATAATTATTTTCAAAAAGAAATCTCTTGGGTTTAAGGAGATACTTTAAGGGTCAAAAGTGATATTCTGAGGGCAGGAATCCAACTCAGTAAATAATAGAGTGAGGCTGCTCTACCAGAAAATAAGACTTTTCGAGAATGAAGGGAGATAAGAGAAAGGCATGGAGGGAGGTGGGGAGCAGAGGTGAGCCGGGGAGAGGCTGAGGCTGAGTG